GCCGGGATATTGCCGACTTGCAGCACTTGTTTCGGTGACTTCTCTTGATTTATCTCTTTTAAAGCGGAACTCGTGATTCACTGCCGGCATTTCGTACGTATTTACTTATGGGCTTTTCGGCCTGAAGAGGTGTTCACTCCATTCAGAATGGACATGGTAAGGTACAGTCGGCATGCATAGGCGTACTTCCTTGATTGCTCTCCCGCCTAAATAGGCAACTGTTCCTTCGCCTTATCTTCTTCAGAATGAGATATCTTAGATCTTATTCCATAAGACTATGGTTGGGAAATCGTATAACTCTACGTCTTTTCTTTCGATGATATTAGATACAATTTTAATGAAAGTTCTCATAAGATCCGTCACGTGATCCACTTACATGTAGATAAATACATAAAGATTGTTATCATATTATCTCGATGATGGATTTCGATATGCAATTAACTTGTCCCACTTAGTATATATCAAATTATCAGAAAAGAATGATATTAATTATCGGTAGGAAAATGTGAAAATCAATTTTTTTTTGCCAGGGAAACAAAAATATTTAATCGCACCAAATGGAACACATTAATTAAGTGATTTTCAATAAAGTTATGCAAAAAAAAAAAGTAAAGATGTCCAGCGAATATTATTCACGTGGAGAACGTATAGATGTATTGTAGGTATGCTAGATGGCGATAGTTGATATGTTTTACTCACAGAAAGGAAAAAATAAAAGCAGAACACAAAGAAAAATGGCGGATTACATTTTCAGTACTCGGCAATTCTTTTGCTTTTTGTTTCCCAATTTTTTAAAAGCAAAATCTGATAGAAATTCATTTATAAATATTTAATAAACAAACTTTAACTAGAATTTCGTGTACAATTTTGAAAAATAATTAAACAAACAAAAAATACAAACAAAAGTGCACAGAACAAGAAGTAAAACATTTAAATTATGTAAAATATTCATGAAAAGTTTTTATCATGCAAACCAAAAATTTTAAAGTACATCATTTTAAGTAACAACTAAAAGGACGCATATAGCAACAATAACAACGACAATGATGGTAAAAATGAAAGAAGAACCAAGCAAAGGGACCGATATTACAAACGTATCAGAAAATTAGTAAAACACATTTACATTCGTACATACTGAGTGAAGGAAAAAGTTCAAAGTGTTTTCTACAATTTTGAGTAAAGATACGTCGCACTCTGCCAATGTAATTGTTCAAAAAATTGGGTAGGAGCGGCATGTATGACGTTACATTCGTCAAGACATATCTTTGAGTACATTGCGAAGAGAAGCTTGATTATATAATGCACAACGTGGATTAATAGTGAAACATTTGAAACTGGTTGCAGAGATTGACATCGGATGATGAAAAATGAACCATGAAAGGCAATAATAAACGAAAAAGTTCCTAGTCCAACGTGGACAGAATTCTACCAAGGGTGGCAGAGCCAGTATCGATGTCACGCAACTTAATGGGGGGCCATGAATAACGAAATCCTCCATTTCGGAAAATTGCTCAAGTAATGCGATTAAAGAGCGTACTTGTGTTAAAGCGTTCCGAAATGGGGCAGTGCTGCAGTACGATAAAAATTGAAAGAACTCAGCTAGAAAATTGCGGTACATCTACCATATAACCCGGATATTGTCCACCCGAGAATCGTGTGGAACTTGCTTTATGGGGCTAAGCTGATTTCAAAAGAGACCTGAGTGATTCGTTTGGTTCCAGTTTCCGCTTAGAAAAATTTCCTGCTTTCGGCAACGGTAACGGTATTGATTTCATTAGAAAAAAGGAATATATTTGGTTTAGTGAATTCTGTGAAACTTGAAACCTAAAACAAAATATGCTTGAATTTTGAGCGGAAGAAAGACATAAACTTTTTCTTGATCAATTATTTCATTCATTATTTATGTATGTATGTGAAATATTAAAGTGGTCTTATATGCTTTAATGACTACATTTGTATTGCGCTCGAACAAAAGTGCCTTTTTCACTGCCACCGCCTACCATCACCATCACATCATCCCATCTTCCCTCACTCAACCCAAACAAAAGAAGCAAGTTGATTGTGACTCTTATTTGTTCGATATTGACTTGTGTGGTTGCCATCTCATACATATTGTAATTACAATATTTTTCGTTTGCTAAATGTCTTTAATAATTCATTTATGCTTTCTAGAGTCGTACATGTGTGCTTTATGCGACATGCGACAAGTTATCTTCCTCTCCTTTTTTCGTCTCGATCGTAAATTTGTGGTAAACATATTAAAAAAACGTACCATTAATCTTGGGAGCAGTACAAAATTCTTTCGGGATTTAATTCGCGCTATTAACTGAAGAAGAAGAATAACATGAAAAATAAGTTAAGGCCGTGACATGTTTTCCAATTTTAATTTACTAATTAATTGTTTCGTTATAATTTATTTCATTGCTTTGCAATTTTCTTTTATTGCTTTAAAGAATTTCTTAAGCATTTTCTTTGCAAAATTTTGCATACGCATCTCAATCGCAATGCTTTAGTAGCATTAACGATTAAATTTGTCATTTCTTATCTAATTCTTCTCCCTTACAAACGATATCTTATTCATGCTTTTCGTCCAGTAAGTTAAACATAAGTGCTTTGGTCGCAGTTATGTCGCGATGAGGATGCCGTTGAAAATTGTGATAACCAGCTCCTGATTCATCCTTGTTGCAGTCATTGCTATTATTGGTCCGCATACAAAAAAAAAAAAAAAAAAAAGACGAATTTCGTTATGTTTACCTATCTTTTTTTTTCCCGGTAATTTTATCTTCCGATTTTTCCATCCTTTTATTGTACTCTCCCATACTTTCATATAAAGTTTAGCCAGCCCTCATCAATCATGGCAATTGAATTTTATTTTTCACTTTCTTCTCTTTTTTCTTTTTTTGTCAAATTTTTTATATTTTTAACAATTTTATAATTTCATCGTCGTCATCAAGTTTGCTCGCTCGTTCACTTACTACTATATATAGAATAAGCCCATACATTGGCTATGTGATATATATGCGTACGCCAACTTTGTATAGCTTCGTTTATATGCACGTTTCAAAAAGAAATAAGAAAAAAAAAAAAAAGAAAAAACAAAAATCCATTATTTAAGGGTAAAAGATTCATTTCATAAAAAATGTTAACGAAAAAGCATTTTCCTATACCCTTACACCCATTGTGTGTTTGCCTTTTCCCCTTATAATCTATCATTTGATGCTGCTCATACATCAAACTTTTATGTTTTATTAGCAGAAATTTTTAAGAAAACATTCGGCGAAAATTTCATTTACTCAATTCTCTTCGGTTCCGCTTTCCTTTTTTTTTTTTTGCTTTTCATTTTTTCTCGTTTTTCAGTTTTCAGATCTTATCGACACATTGTTTGAATAATGTCAGAAATTGATTGAAATGCTGTTATTGTTGTTATATCGCTTTTGGTTGCCTGCTTTTTCATTAATGAATTTCCTCCTTAAATAAAAATTAAATGGAACTTGAAAAGAATGCGTTTCAGATATTAAAAACTTGTTGTAAATTGATTTGACTCAAAGTGTCTTAAATAGTAGCTGCTCGATGCAAAACACTTCTACTCCATTTAATTATAGAAATTTTGAAATGGCTTACCCACTATTCATAAAAGGGAGGTATTCGTCTACAAATCTTTTGGAAGTGTCAGTGCGTTCCAGCAAAGCCTTTTCTAATCATCCTCAAGTTGATGGAATCTACACCGAGTTCAACATACGACTTGATAAGATTAACTACTATCTGCCGCTGTCAAAACTTAATTTCATGGTTTTCTTAATTTTCTGAACACACAAGCCTCGTGCATATAGCATAGGTTTCAGAGTGTTTTATTCAGTTCCATTATATTGAAAGATGTTATTATCTGTTCGGGGTCCCACAAGAATGCCACTGGGTCTTATTCTTCTTGCTTTATACCTTGATGACTTATCGTCAGCATTGATGCCTGCATGCGGTGCCCGCTATACCCATATTATGTTAAGCAATTCGTCCAAAAACTACTCTTACTGTTCCAAGTCGTGATTTGGAACTGTGCGGGCGTAGACTACTGCTTACCGTCTTGCTTAGATCTATATTCTGGTTTTTTCGATTTTTAGTGAAATTAACCCGTCATGGCCCCTGTAAAGCCCTCAGACATGACACTCTGGTTAATACTTCACTTGTGTAGATATAATTACGAGCTTGACTGTATATTGTCTAACACGTATAACTTATCCTCCTTGTCTGGTTCTTTTTCTAAAATTCAGTCCGTATTTTATAGCCTTAGTTAGCCCCTTTATATGTACATACACCCCAAGCTTTCACCATTAATTCTCTATGCATATATTCTTTTATTTATTGAACTATCGTACGTTATACCAAGTTTGGTAGTTTTAGTTCTCAATCCCCTTGTTTTCTTTTAAGTTTATTTTATCCGTTGCATTTGTAGTCTAAAATCGTATAAGATATTGAAGTAACGAATAATAGTTAATATCTGTTCTTATAATCCCATCCCTTCTTCTGCACTTTGGCTTTGTTGAGTAAAAAAGTTTATTATTCTTTGTAGGGAAGTGTAAATCAGCTTTATGACGGGAATGACGGACCCTTTTTACCTATCGGTCCGAAAAAAATAAAATATTTGATTTATGACATATTGGTTATGTAAAATGTCTTTTTGCCATTTTCCTTGTTTTTCCGAATGTTTCCGAGACTGAGTTTGTAAACTCAAATATTATTATTATTATTATTTTAATTTTAGACTAATGAAATGAATTCTTAGACTAAAAAAAGACATTGATTTTATTTATAGTTTTTTTTTATGTAATCATATGTTTGAAGTTTTACAACACATATATAATAAATGCTTTAAACCGAATTTGGCTTAAAGTGCAGAGAGTGAGGGCTGTGCGAAATTGTTCAACCCAACTCAACTCAATAAAAAATAATAAAAAAATATTAAACGACTATAAATCGAAAAAATAGAAGATATATCAAAAAGCAGCTTACGATGTGGATCTTGCATCTTTTTCGGGAATAAAATCTGGGAGAAAATTCAACCATTCACTGAAATCAACTTGAGGATATTCCCGCTTTTGTTTCAGCAGAACATTGTGTAGATCAACTATAAGCTTTAAATCTTCTCGATATTTACGAAGAATTGTTTCATCTATACATATGTCGGCCAAAGGTAAAGTTACTTTTGGTTTACACACAGATACAGTCATTTTAAGTTTCGCCTCCAATTGCTTAATATTCTTGGCCATCTCTTTTAGTGACACCGATCCAGATCCATGCATAGCCAAACGGTGCACAGAATGATTAGCTGTGGTAAGAGGCGCAATTTTCCCCGGTTTTGTGATAACATATGTCTTGAGACCATGCCAATCACAATAGCTACGCAAAGCATTTAAAGATAAATGCAAATATTGTTCACACGATATGTCTTCCTTGGGTTTTAACCAATGTTTCTTTGTCATATCTAGGGCAATTTTTTGCGGTGTTAAGGGCTCCGAATTAACAAACAAAAGACTGTCGATAAATTCGTAGCGCACAAAAGATATGCGCAGCAATTCAATAGTTTCCATGTAACTAGTGACGTCTCCGCGGTTATATTCTTTGAATATTTCAAAAAAATCTTTTATTAAAAGTCGTGTTTTGTCTCCTAAAACGGGGTACTTAACGCCATTGACTGTATTTTCCATATCCATTGTATTACTGGCAACCATAAGCAAGGATATGTAACGTTCCAAAACTTGTAACCTGGATTTACACAAGCTCTTAGCTACAGCGTCACTGAATACGGTGAAAATTCGTCTGACCATTTTGGTCATACGTGTGAATTGTGTCAACCCACACACCGCTACTATTAACGGGCCGTTTTCCGAACAAATGCAGTCGTTGGGATTTTTATTATACTGTAGCAACCACGTAGCTAAATCATATTCCAATGCGTTTAATATTAAACTTAGTGCCACAAAAAGGCGTTCCAAACGCTGAACTAACGTTAAAGCAACATTCGTATGCAATTGACGTTCATGCTGTTCGTATTCAGACGAAAAGCTGTCATCGCGAAACGAATCAGCTGGATTTGCGTCCATGAAAGTTGGCGGCATATTTATAGCGTCACCTTGCGGAGATGAAAGATCAGAGGGTGAACATATTTTCAGCAAATCTTCTAATAAATCCAAAAGTATATCGCAAACCTTTGAAGATTTGCTAGGTAGTGTCTCCTCGTTTGAAGACAACTTTCTAGTGTCGAGACCACGATTCAAAAAATCTATATAATGATGTCTCATTCCCTGCCAACAAGGTGGAAAAGTACGAACAATCATTAAGAATAATTCGATATACTTGTTATAACATTGCTGCAACGTAATATTTGGTTTTTGTTCAATCGTACAATTGACGCTTAAAATTGATTCGAGAAGGTTTATAAAACACGAAACACCTGGAAACTCCCCACGCAAGCACATGTCGGTAGTTAAGTTAATTGATGTCACGTAACGAAGTTGTTCGAAAGCTATGCGTAAGGCGTGGAGCTGACTACGTGATGCCATCTTCGGTTTATCGGCGTGATTATGACGGTGATGACAATAGGTTAGATCATCTAGACAGTATGGCGCGAAATCCAAATGCAAACGTTGCCCAATATTTAAGTACAAGTTCGAGATTACCGACAATAAATGTTCGCTTGAATTAGTCGGCGAAGCGAGAGAATCTTGTTTTTCCCTTTTATTGTTTTCAGCTTTCGAGGACATGTTTTGAGTTTTCGAAAATTTAGTTTTGTTTTCGGTTTGCTTCGATGATATATTTATAAGTGAATTATGTTTGGAAAATTGCAGTGCCGTTTGTGAACTATTTCGTTCGAATATTACTATGCAACTGTCAAGTTTTCCTTTTATTCTCTTTTGAAAAGTACTTAACAATACCAGACTGCATGATGACAATAATGATGATCCTTTTATTTGATTAATACTCTGCGAATTATTCTCATTTTTCGTCAACAATTCCAAGTTAGATAAGGTTTTTTCCCCTTTACGATGCTAGATAGGTAGAGCATGCTTTTTCGGTATTTTATTCAATTTCCTTTCATAGAAAATCAGTTAGCTTTCATCCATATTTTCTTTAGCAAATCTGAAATTTTCGTAATAGTATTACCACAGGTTTAAGTGCTCAAATATTAACAGAAAAGTTTGTCTGAAATACATGAAAGTTGACATTTTATGCCACAGAATTTGAGTTAATGATCCGTCACGCTCGAAAGAGTCAGCACCTTTCACTTTGAATTTAATTGCGGCCTGCGCTGCGATAATATCGCATTTTAAAAACTTCTTCTATTTGTTATTTAAACTGCACTCTGAAGTCTTAATCGAAAAAATGCAATTAAACAAAACAATAACGAAAATCTTAATTAAGGGACGAAAAGTAAATAAAAAACTTTATCTTGTTTCGAGCGCATTTCATTGTAATGCAAAAAAAAAAAAAAACGATAATAGAATGCGAAGAGAGAAAAGCAAATCGGAATAAATCTTCTACTAAAGTATAATTCTGGCAAGTTGTTATAAAAAAGCAGAAAAAAAAAAAATAAGTAAATAAAAATTGAAAAAGAAAGTCAAAAGCATTTTTTTATTTATTGATGGGTGGTACGGCGTCAACATAAAGATGCCATTATAATATTTTCGAAAAATTGAAATTAATTTTTTTGTACAGGACAAATAATAGGAAAATTTATTTGAATAGTTGCCTAAGTGTTCTATAGTAAGCAAATATTTCAGGAAACATTTAATAAATCATAATAGTAGGAAATAAACATAAAAGACAACTGTTACATACATATAATAAGCATTTAAAAAATTGAATTCATCTTATTCATTGTTTATTATCAAGTCAAGTTGTTATACTCATCCGTTTCGTTCGTCATAGCTACGATAGTATTTGCCATATAATAGCTCGTCGTTTGTCATCACTGTTGTGTAATAAGTTTCCTCCTCAACAATCGAAATATTTATATTATTTTATAACCCGAATAGCGAAGATATGTTCGAATTTGTCCGAATCTTGTGACCAACGGCCGACAATTGAACCGATCGGGATTCATAAATAATAGAATTAAGTTTCTTAGATTAGTGATGGATTCTGAGTTATGGGTAAAATTGTTCACAAAATTCATACGACTTGATTTCGGTTTTCTTGCCACTTTAAGTAGGGTCCGGAACGGATATAAACATTCTAAAATGTTATATAACATTAAAATTCTGAAAAGATTAAAAACATTTCTGTACATCTGCTCTTCTGTGGTCGACATAAAAACTCATTCAACACCGAAAGACAGAGTTGTATTTATTTTGTCGAAACGTCCGCAACAGCTGGTAGCAAATCGCAGGTAAGCTCTTAGCTGTAGATAATGTTCATTAGCATTGAACCTTAATTCAATTAAGGCGTGCCTGTCCGTCTGGCAGTCTTTCTTCCTGGCTGCGCATCGATCCACAAGCCGTAAAAATGAACATGTCGCCTCAAAATTGGACGAAACAAGTAAGTACACGTGTGTTGGTATTAAAGATGAGCTAAATACCCGAAAGAACACGCCCACTGTGCAACATAAACATCTCGGTTTTCAAAAGAAAAAATGTTAAATTTTTGACTCATTACTCGTAAACTACAATAAGTACAATGAAAAAGACTTCCAAGCATATGGTTTGGATGATTCTACAATATCACGGTGCAGTAAGAAATGAACAAAGTCAACCAACATTTTAAAGTATGGAATTATATAATTTTTTTAAAGTTTCTTTTCTCGACTAGAGATGAAAATAATTTTTCTTACTTATTTTTTATTTTCTAAATATGTTTTATTTATATTTTAGTTCGAAAAATATTATAACATGAAATACTGTCGTATCTAGCGTATACAATAATCAAGTTTATGTCAAAGCATAGAAAAAAAAAAAATGTTTTTCTTCTTCTCCTCTTCTTTTGTTTTGATAAAATACATAAATGGTATGCTCACAGACTGACAAGTGTCTATTAAACTGAGCACCATTGTCAGTTAGAAATTCTTCTTTGGGGAAAATTACTAGAACTGCAGCTAACTTTAAGATAAAAGCTTTTTCCTCATTTCCTTTCTGTAATAGAAATTTACTTCTACTAAAGCTTTTAAATTACCAGTCATCTCTATTGCAATTTGCCGAGAGTATACATTGTGCTTCGGGTACCTTAATCTTTAACTTTTGTCAACTTTTTACCTGATTTTGTTAGCGTTCGTTGTTTAACGGGTTAAGGAACGTTTCAAAACATTATCCTTATTAAAAATGTTAAATACATGCCTACTGTGACAAAATCGCTCTATAGGTCCATTGTCTCACAAATTGTGTGGCAATTGACGTCACCCATATCCACAGCATTAAAGCCAGTCAACATCGCTCAGACACGCACCCAATTACTATAAGAGTCGAGCTAGCAATATCTTTGAAAATGTGTGGCCAAATTAAATCGCCAGCCTAAAAACCGCAGCAAACCGTCATCTTTTGTAGGTTGAGAGTCTTTTTCGTCTAGCTTTCCTGTGAACTACATGCGATCATTTTACTTGCTTATGTTATTCCACATACAGCCTCCATCACTTTGGGTAATTTTGTTAAAAAAATTACGAGTTTGTTCATCTACATCTAGCACCCAGTCAGCGGATGTGCAATGAATGTACAAGTATTTGAAAATCTCTTAACTAAAACTTGCAAGAATATTTTAGCAACTAAAGTTGTATACTAAAGGTTCATAAATTCAATAAAAATTAAGCTGAGCTTGTTAAAAAATACGCGACAATATGCGTAGATTTTAAGTAAGTTCGGAAAAGAAAATTATGTGTTAATGAAATTTTTATTGGATGCGAATATAAATTGTTGTTACAGATTTCAATGGTGAGCAAATTCTTAGCATGAAGCCGAAGTATCGTTTATGTATTTTAGTAAGACAGCAATAATACCTTCAACTGATTGTATTGCGAACTCTCATGGGTCCGACCGTTAAGCAAAATGGTGCACTTTCGCTATGTCAATCAGGCATATATATATACATCTTCGATGTGCGTTGCATAAAATGTAATTTGCTGATTTCTTCCAATTTCCAAAGCACGCAAACACCATAATCTACTCGTAATGCACAGACTCAACATTTTTCCTCACTTTAGTAATTTTACAAACCTTTAGTCTTAATACGTTCGGTGCCGGACAAACGATTCACGGCACGATTGAAACGGCAAAGATTATAGTAAACATATGATACCTTGGCTCACGGCTGTGTTGCATATGTTACTAAAACAGGTTTGCCAAAATCGGGCCACGAAGTTTACATCTCATTAAGCTATTTACTTTTCGAACAACTGCGAAATATATTCAAGAAATTTTATATATTTTGAAATGTTGAAAATCATTTTTGAGAACAACTTGCCGACGTCAAGCAATAACACATGAACAATGCACATAGAGCATGTCATTGTCATCCCTTTATTATTATTACCGTTCCCATAATTCCCGTAATCGTCATCGTTAGCTAAATACCGCAGAAACATGAAACAGTCGCCACATATGAATAATCTTCGATGAGTGTAAAACAAAATATATTTTTCAATGTCAAGGTCATCAAAACGATACAAAGCGGCACAGAGCGGCACCCATAAAGACGTACATTTATATATATGTATGTATGTATATAAAGAAGAAGAGAAAAAGTTTGCGACACCACCACAACAAATAAATACTTTATCAAATTTACGTTATTACCATGAATGCCAGTCTGAAACACATTAGTTTAGCATTCTTGTTTCTTCTTTATTTTTTGCTTGGTTAAGTTTGCTGGTTTCTTCATTCCGTTTGACTTGTATTACTTGTATTACTACTGGTAGCAGACTTAATTTATATGTTCGACGATTTCTTGGAAAAATTTTTGGAAAACATCAATACAAAAGCTATTAAAAACTCTGTTAGAGAAGATCAAATTGTTCTTCTTGTTCTGGTAGCCGTCAGTGGAGGCCAAAGATACATAAATTTTGTCATTCAAAATTCACATTGATTTGATCGAATCGCTTGCTCGTTTATGATCAAAGTACTCGTTCAAGGTCGTTGGAATTAAAATCGAAAGTTAAAGTTCGACTGAAACACAGCTCCTCCGTTTAACTTTTCGCATTTATACTAGGGCTTGTAATCGGCCCTTTTACTTCAATTCCGTAATTTATCGGATGTAGTTGACCTTTGATATTAAAAATGATATTCCGGGGAATAAAAACAACTTCCGTTTGCCGCGTCTAACTTAGTTGAAAAAATGCTCAATTTTTTCGTATTTGTTCGTAGTGACTGGTACCCGAAATTCTCCCCAAAGCACATATTATTTTTATTCTCATTTTTTCGTTTATTATTTTTATTCGTTTTATGCAGTATGAGGTTAAGCGTAATTTTCTTGCTACTAAGAGGGCGAACGTATTGATGAAGTTTTCTGCTGCTATGTGTTTAGTTTCTGGGACATAACGAACATTTTATTCAGGCTAAGAGAGCGAGCTGAGGAAATTTAATGCTCGCGTGTGGCATTTTTTTTTTTTATTTTTTATTTCATATCTTTTATGAATATGTACATACATTTCGAAATTTATATAAACTAATACTCAAATGAGAAATTTTACTTATTTCGGAGCTACAATGGCAGCGGCAAAAAAAAAGTTGAATGACTAAATGTCATTATAAATGACTGACAGTCGTCAAAAGAGGAAAATGTGGTCATAAAATTTGTTAAAGGTTGTTTTTTCATTTTATTTATGAATACTCACACATGCCTTCGCCAACGTGATGTTTGTCATATTTATTTACAATGAATGACATGACGTTAAACAGACTGTGACATAAGTGAGTTAAACCTTTCTTCGTTCGTGTTTTCATTTTATATAAACACTCGGATGATTTTATTGCACTGAACTCTGCTACTCTCCGTTTAACTGTTTTCAGTCACCAAGTGACTGCCTATCTGTCTGCTTGTCTGTTTCTTTGCTGGATATACACCCAGAAAACCTTATAAAATTAAAGATATGACTCGTTGTTGTATACATAAAAATAAAGTTCTAATATTGTTTCCCGAGACTACGTAAGTTGGATGTTAAGTAAAAAGTATATCCATTGTTGAATTGCCACGTTAAACAGGTGGTAAATTTTTGTGGAAGGGCTAATGGAATATTGTTGATATTTAGTTAATTCAATTCTAAATAGAAATGTTGATATATAGGTAGTTAAGTAATAGTGCTTTCGAAGACTTTAGGGCGTTACATTGACGTAAGTTGATAACTTTCCTAAAGCTTTTGCCCCCCATATTTTTATCATAGATATTTTTTTTCTATTAGCAGGCAAAAATATATATTTATTTATTTTCATAGGGCGATGTGACTCAAGGATATTAACAAGGATGGGAAAGTGATCGCCTCATCGTTGATAGATGCAAAAAGAAACCTATTGAAGATTTTGGAATCAGAACATGTCAGAAAATGTCAGACCTACAGTTAATAATAATCGAATTTGGCGTTCAATATATGTCGCACGTGGATTTACTCCTCTTACTTCTCCGTTTCTTTTTATATAAAGTCTAATTGGTTGCGAAAAGTACTTAGAAATGAGCTTAATGAGTGTAGTTAGATTTTTTACTAATCTCAGATTTCTATCCTAGAAAATTATATCACTTCAAAGTTATCAAACGAGGCCGTAATTGGAAAGCACCCAACTTACTTTAATGATTAAGTCGTTACACATACGGGGTGTGTGTGTTTTTACAATTTTTGCCGAATCATTAAAAATGTAGGCGGATTTACCTTTTTTAACAAGTTCTGGATCTCTCCTTGTAACTGCGGCGCAAAGTGGTAATGCAATCGTTCCTATTGTGGTCACTACAAATCCAAGTTTATCGTATCTTTTTGATCTTCCGTCTTTTCGTGGAGTCTTAGACTTCTATTCGCTGCACATGTTTTCACATTGTTGTTGCCAACTCTTCGTCAGGTAGAATAACTCATCTTCGAGTAAAAATTCGCATCTAAAAATCCATGCGCTTTAGCTTATATCATGTTAAACAAATACATCGTTTGAAACTCACATCCATTAAAGGTTTACCGCTATTTGAGGATGCGTTCGGCTGGCCGATTAACAATTCAAAGATCGTGGGTTTAAATCACAATTGCGGTAGAGTTTTCAATAAAGACGATAGCCTTAGATGTGATTGCTTAAGACTTTAGTCTTAAGTAACCTTAAGGAGAACGATATATGCGGATAGATAGTTAAAACATTGTTCCATTCGTGACATCTACTCCGTGAATGCTCCCTGTATTACTACGATTTATCGTACATTGCCAATTATTTTTCTTTCCGAAAGCGACTTGCCTGCGATGGCTTTCCAGCTTGCTTTTGATGGCTCATCAAGTTAAAATTTAATTTTTTTTTGCTTACTTATATACACAGATAAACTTATATTGCAATAAGCATGCATGCAGGCGAACACGATGACCATGAAAGCAGTGAACACAAACGCGGGGTTTATACGAAAAGTTAAACTCACCTTGTGCTTATTGCAAGTCATAGACAATGGACAAAATTATTTTGAAATGCTTGCTTCTATTGGATGTTGATTCTGTTCCTTACTCATGCCTACAAAATATGGTTATAAAAACCATTTCTGATCACCTAACAATATTATGTGTAATAGATGTTCGCATTTATAATATAATTTGTTTAATCTATTCTTGCATTTTTTTCTTTGCAGGTACACCATTTGTAAGTCTAGACCACGTAAGCAAATTACTTATCACATTTTTATATAAACATTTGTAGAAATCTATAAAGCTGTGACATATTAACAATACGTCATAATTATTTGATATTTGATTTCAAGAGTAGAGAACTGTTCGCGGTTGTAAAAGTCAATAAATATCAATTTTCAAATTTATATGTCGAGGCAAACTATACAATTACAAGACCGCATGGTGCCGTGTGCGCGAAAGCTAGAATGTAAATATAATAGAAAACTGATAGACTTTAGCTTTGTGGTTTCGTTATACGAAGAGAAAATAAATGCTTATTAAAAGCAAAAAGCCAAAGATATTTACGATACCGTTTACAGGGCAATGCTTAAACAATACTAGAAATTTCATTATCTTAAACCGGCTACTGCCAAAGATGAGAGTGTATTGGTAAGCTGATTAAAAAAAATTTATGACCCTTTACACGATTGATTATTGATAAAGTCAAAATCTTATTTAGAATATTGAAGGCGACCTTAAATTTCTTCTTCTTCTTCTGTAATTCAGCAAAACAACAACATATGACTAAAGAATCTTCAACGCGAGCATGAATTTCTTTTTTTTAACCTTTAAATTTCTTGCTGCTTACTTTCGTCTTCGACTGCGAGCCAGAATTTTTAAAGGTTTTACAAAATAGAACTTCCAGATAAGATGTCTTCATATCGCGTCAAGTAAGTTTTCGTTATGAGAATTTCGATAACAGGATTGTTATCCATACAAAGCAAGGGCGAAGCTATACTCTAACGAATTTTTAATGCTGACCGTTAGTTAATCTTGAAATCAATTATAGTAATTGTATTCTACACATACATACAGAGAGTATAATTGTATTAATAATTGTTAATTAATTAATAATTGTATTGTTCAAACCTCAAGTGCGGTAGAGTTTTTTATTAAAAAAGCCGATAGCCCTAGATGCTAGTGCTTTAAGACTTTAGTCTTAGAATTTATTCTCTGGCTAAATTTATAATAATTATAATAATAATAATAATTGTATTATTGGTGGGTAAAATTGGAGCCTATATAAAATTTTAATTAGTTCAGTGGGAGTAGCAAGTTCTGTTGTTTTTTTTGTTAAAAATGCATCCATTTCGAGGAAAGATGAATAAGCAGATCAAACACCTTTCGATGTTATTCGCAAAAGACTCCATGTTGCGCTATATTCATAGGAACAGGAGCACAGTTTGGAAAACAAATCATCCATTGCAACCCGAGTTGGAGTAATATCGGCCGATAACAGCGGGTAGGGAAGGACATTAGGTTATCTTGAGGGAGTTTTCTTGTTCGGGGTCGAATTTCTTCATACTGAAAGCTCACCATACACCATATTTGTTGATGTTATGGGTTCCCATATTTTATATCGTGGTAATGCATTTGCATACGTCGCCTTTTCGCCACTCGTAAGAATTTAGCAGCGTCAGGGAATGTGAAGTTTATTTTCTTAACTTAGGACTACGCCTCTGCAAAAGTCCAAGAAATTATCTTCTGTTCGCTTTCAGGTTGCGATTTATACAGTAAGAAGACAGTGCTTTCAAATGAAAATGTCATAGTTTTGTTTTGCAGAGAGAGAGAGAGAGAGGGACAGAGAGAGAGAGCCTACGCTTATACTTCACTTACTTACGATCTGAAAAAGCAACCGAAACAAATTTGAACGTTGTGTTGTTACATTGTGAGTTAAAATAGAAAACTTAAAGCATAGAAACAAACAAAGCTAAAATATTGCTCAAGGAAATTTAAATACAAAAATCGAACTCAAGTACTTCAACTAAATTGCATCTCGAATAGATTGAGTTGACTGATTCGAATCGATTCATTTAGTAGACAAACTATTGTTGAACTATTTGTAGCATATTTTTGCAGGCATCAACGATGGCGTCTATGATCAGTATGGCACCTTGGGTCGCCCAAGTTTGTTCCAGGTATTATCTTGCTTTTTATTTATTTATTTTTTTTGCAAGAACGTTAGTGTATTTATATAATCTCAGTTCGATTGGTGTCTACTCGTTCCTGAAAAGTAGTAGTAGTTCTTATAAGGATTGGCCCTTGGGTGATTTCACCTTTTGTTTGTTATTTTCTTGTGTCTGAATTGTTTTTATCGTTAATTTTTGTTTATTTGTCTCTGTTTGTGTATGTGCTATGCTTTTTCCTTAAAATCAAGTGCGAAAATATTTCCTTTTGATTAAACGATAAGACAAAAATGAAATCTTAGTGCAGAGCTATAAACAAAGTTTTGACAATAAATAAAAGAAAAAAAAAAACTAAGAATTGAAAAAGGCACAAGGAAGTTACATACGCCTCTGGGATAAAGCAGCAAAGTATTTTGTGAAATATCTTCATTTCAATCGGGCGAACGTGACAATATTTATACTACTTTCAGACTCTAAATCGATATGTTGTGTTTTTCGTTTTTGTCTATTGCGTAGCCGTTTCCAAGTGAGTCACGAATGTCATCTGCCTAAAGTCGCCGTAGCGCTGCTCGTATATATTTATACTAAGCTCCAAAAGCTTTGGAGTCGTTTTAGGATCAAAGTCGTCGACGAAGTGGCGCTCGTACATATTTGCACTCAGTTCTAAAGGTTTTGGAACCAAAATTGTCGGCACGGTGTCCATCTATATTTGTACTGAGTCGCAGACGCTTTGCGGCCATTTGTGAGCATCAAGCACAACTGTAAAAGTTATCATTAATTAACCGAAAATTCACCGTCTTAGCTATAGTTTACTGCACTACATCTGTGTCTGTAATTGTTGTTCGATGTTTGTTGACTTTGTAGAATGTATTTATTTTTCATATGTTTGATATTTCAATGCGCTCTCTATGTTAGAAACTTTGTTCAAAAAATATATTAAACTCGAAAAGACATAAAGGTCAAGTCACGTAATGTAAGCAGGTCCCATTTCAGCTCCAATTACTAAGTAATTTCCGTTTTTCATAAAAGTCCCGGGTCGCTTTTCGTTTCCCTACTGTAGATTAAATGTATTTTACGTTGTTTTATCTTCCAATGAGACTCGGATGGGCGTGACAGGTATGTTAAATGCGATTTGAAGACCAAACCGGTGATTTCGTGTAAGATTGGGAAAGCGGCTGCCAAGGCCTCTGGATAGATGACAAAATGATGTCGGAGTTCGATTTCCGTTCGCTGCATGCGCTCTTCCGGCTAAAGCCGCAGACGTACGATCGCTGTTTTGTGTAGCTAATCAAGTATGAGGGGTAAACAGTCATGTATAACAAATAGAAAAATAATAAAACCTCAGTGAACTTTACATCAAGGTTTGTGCGAATAATCTCCGTGGTGACGTGTTCAAACGGCAGCGTGTAAACGATCAAGAAATAGATATACAGGCGGGTCCGAAGTAAAGATAGGTGTACAGTTAAGTTAGAGAATTGCCAAGCCTAGTCCGTTTTAGGCTATATCTGGGTATTTAACTGCGCAGTCCTGGAAATAGAAATTTTCTTGTAAGCATTATCGAGTACTTTGCTGGCACAGATAAGGGATAGAAGAATTCATGTTCAATGCTTTAAAGTTAATTAAAAGATTTCATCGAATTTTCATAAATAAACTTGAAAAATGGATTAACTCGGCCGGGAATGCATCCTTTGTCGTCAAGAGATTCAAATCAAGTAAAAATTAAAAGATTCTTATCTAGTTATCCTAAATGATGGTTTTCGAAAAGTTGAGATGTTTTGGTTTATGTTAATCTACGCTTTGAAGAAAGGATGTTAAGAAAACTTGTGTGCGTGAGAACGCGAACTCCATATTATATGCCAACGGTGTATAAAACCATATATTTTCAATTAATTTTTAACAAAAAGCTAAACATTGGTTAAAAATTGCTGCCTGAACTTAAGGAAAAAAAAAAAAAAAAAAAAAATAGAAAAGAAAAAGAATAACAACAACAAAAATTGTTTGTAGCTGCTGCTCCTGGTGTTCCTATTTGTTGTATATATGTTTGCCTTTTTACTTTATTGTGCATCAGCCAAAACGTACTGTGGCATATTGCAAAGGATTTCATTACCCCAACGAGTGTAACTGCGTTCGTTTGTTTTCGTATGTATATGTCAGCCTTCTCTCTCTGTGTGTGAATGAACATTTGAAATTTACAACTGCATGTCGTTGTAAATTTATTGCTCATTGATTTATGGTCGAAATTGTAAATTGTAAAGTGCGAAATTGCATTTTTCTGCAAGCAATTCTTTTTTACCCCGTCCTATATATATTTTTTTTTTTCTTTTCTTCTTTTAAATTGTTGCAATTACTGTTGTTTTTGTACACTACAGCATACCAAAAGCGATAAAAATAAGACGCGAGGGGCTTTCTAAAAGTGGTGAATGGGTGGTAAGTAAAAAACACTCTTAAAAATTTTGTCACTTGCATAAAAAAAGACAAAAACAAAAACAACGATAGCAACAAAAATATCATACAACGAGTTATATAAAAGTATTTGTATGTTTAAGATTCTCACTTACTCACCTACTAGTCGATTCGAGTCGAGTCGAGTCTCTAGGAATTGGCCAACTATTGTCGTTATAAACACCAACACTCTGATATATATATATATATATATATATACAATAATAAATAGTGTTAAATGGTAAATTTACTAATAGAGCTTGTATGACTGACTACATATATATATATATATATATATATATATATATATATATATATATATATATATATGTGTGCTTGTTTATGTTTTGCGTGCGCTCAGTAAATGTATGTTTGCGTTTTGTTGCTGTTGATGTTGTTTTAGTCACATGTCGCATTTGTTAGTGTCAGCCACCATTCAGGCCATATAGTCAAATCAAAAATGGCGAAAGGCAAAAGCCATAAGTTGTAAAAGCACACGCACATCAGTAACTTGATGGAATCGAAAAACAAATAAAAAAAAAAACAAAAACTGGGGAAAAAATAAAAACACAGACGGATAAGTAAGCACAACAAACAAAAGTTGTATTCGGCAAATCGAGTCTACTTGGCAGGCAATTAATTACTAACATTGGGTTCGGTCGCAATACTTATACACATATTCAATCATCCTTTAAAATCCTTGTTTAAGCTTAGGGAGCAGCAGCATACAGATAACTGTTTAACTTTTTCGTTTTTTAACTAAAGATAAACACATAGTGCTCTGCTTTTTTCTTACACTTTTTGAGTCATAAAAACTACAGTTAAAAATTGTTTCATATGCTTTTGACATATAACACAAATGGTCGTGGTCTTGAATGTCAAATGCCTGCATCGACTATCTACTGAAATTCTACGATTTTTTTTCTTTAGAATTGGGATTCAATGTGAGGTATACTTCTCACATAATATACTTTGGAAAGTAGAATGGAAAATGGCGTAGATATTGCTTAGCAGAAGGCGCTTTGATGCACTGAGAGACAA